GACCTACATGTGACTCACATGGTGTGAATCTTACAACTTTTTTTTTTTTTGATCAGTAAAAAAGACACTTTATTGATGAGAAAACATACATTACATACGAAAAAACATCAATAAAGAAAGAGGTGCAAAAAGCATCAAAGTACGCCCCCAATCCCAACTAGGTTGGCACCAAGGAGGATACCCAATCATTTGCTAGCACCATCGAAAATTGGTGAGAAACCAACAAGAAAAAGAGGGAAAGAACAACAGAAGCCCGAAGGCCATCAAGTGATACACCAGCGGACAAAATTCAGAAAACTCCCACCAATACAGAGCAACAGACCCATAGATAGATCAGCTTAAATCCTTGGGCTCATAATTCCTAGTGCACATCCATAGATAGAAACTCCCAACACCTAAGCAGCCTAGCATAGCTTCACCTTCCAGCAAATTGTTGAATACTCCATTAGCAGCCAGCTAACATCAGTGAAGAACAGAATTCTGAGGCATTGTTGCTGCACAATTCTGTGCTGCTAGTTGTGAATCTTACACCCTTACGAGACATTTAGTAAAAAATTTAGTAAAACTTTTAAAATAGCTAACATTTTTTATTAAAAGAATTTAGAATAGAAAATCCAATGCATTCTCTTCCAACTACAACACTCTTTACTCCAAACGGTTCCATATCATTCATCAATAGCCACCTGATCTCATTTAAGTGGGCTCTTTGTTACTAGAGCCTGGTGGTAAAGTGTTTGTCCGTTAAGTAGTGTGAAACTTGAGATTTATTTGGTTGTATTTTCATTTTCTTCATTTTGTTTTTTGTTTTTTGTTTTTTTTCCCTTGTGTTTTTGGCAACAAAAAGAAAAAAAGAAAAAAGAAAGTGTTAATATATTTCATTGAGTTCCAACTCAATCAATAAGAATTTAGAATATTAAAACAAACAATAAACTAATTAGTGTAATAAAGATGGTGCTAGGCATGATCTACATCTTCGATGGCACAAATTGTGCAAATTGAAAAATGTGGTTGTGGTCATTTGAAACACTTATCTAGTTTGATATTCTTCTTTTTTCTCTATTTTTTTTTTCTTTGTTTTGGGTTTGGTTATCTAGTTTAGCATGCAACATGTAAATTAGCAAATTATTAAGTTAATTTTAAACTACAATAATTTTTAACTAAGTTCTCTCAATGGTTACACCACACTACTAGATCAATTGGTGATTGGTTGCTAAATTATCATTGGGATATCGGATTGGACCGTTTAATCCGGCTCATTGGGCTCCCTTTTGGGTCTTGTTTTGATAGTTTGAATAATTCACATTTTAAGGTTCGTCGAGTGTATCATCTCTATAAAAAAACAAATCGATTGGATAACGAAAACTTTGGATCAATTTTGTATGAACCATTAATTTTCTCACCGTTTATTTTTTTTCATACAAAACTTATTCGAATACATGATTTCCATTATCCGATCGACTTTATTTTTTTATAGAGATGATATACTCGATGAATCTTAAAATATGAACGATTTAAATCATTGAAATAAGATCCAAAAATAATCCCAATAAGTTCAATCCGATTTGAAACTGGAGATAAGCCAAACCCATTATTGTTATGGACTGCCTACTCAAAATTTACATATACACTAGTAAATGTCTTCAATCATAGTTAAGTATACAGAGTGGAAAAAAGCAGCCCCTCTCCTGTCTACTTCAGTTCTGGACCATTCAATTTGGCTTGTGGTCTCACTTCAGGTCCTATTTAGATGATTTATTTGTTCATTTTTACAGATTTAGTATGTAAATTATTCATAAAATATCAAATCAATTTGATAATTATAGGCATATAATTTTATTATTTTTATCTTCATAAAAATGGACAAGCATATTTTTAAAAATAAATTGTTTATTTTTTTGAATACAAAGATGACAAAAATATTTGTCTACAATTATTAGATTAATCTGAATTTTTATTTATTTATAGATGATCTACTTACTAAAACTTAAAAATGAATAACATAAACTATCTAAATGAGACTTGTAGTGAAACCCACAGGCCAAACTAGATAGTCCAGTCCAATTTAGTTGATCGAAGAGTAGATAAGTTCAAATGAAAAAAAATCAGGGATCAAAAAAAAAGGAAAAGCTCTTTGGAAATTCAGTAGTTCCTCCTCTTTATTGATATTGGTGTGTATTTAATTTTGTACACTTTGATTCATCAGTAAAATGTTATTTTATTGATAAAAAAAAAAAATCCAAGTTCATACAACTTCATTTTCGAACTCCCTTTTTATTTAAATTTAAATTTTTTATGACTCTATAATATTATTGATAGATGTATATCGTGGAACCCAAGTGGTAGTAATTTCTGAGTCAAACCAGGTTCATCCATGTGGATCCTGACCCGAATCTGAACTTTCTTTGAGGTTCAAAACCCTATTTATTATTTTTTTTTAAAAAAAGAATCCTCACAAAAAAAAAAAATAAATAAATTTGCAGAGAATCTTCCTACCTTCCTACCCACTTCATTAAAGTTAGTAGCAGAAGAAGATTCCCATCTGGTAGCCTCCTTTTTTATTCTTTAGGCCCTCTCTGTCTCTCTCTCTCTCTTTAATTTAATTTTTTAATTTTTTTTGGGTACCCTTAATTTAGAGTCGTAGAATTGGAAGCGAGATATTCCTTCCTCAGAGGCAAATATTATATTCTACATACCATATATATGATGAATGTTTCATTCATTTTAGATTAGATATTCTCTTCACTTTCTCTCTCTATGGACTCATGCATTGTAGAATAAATATTAGACTTTCGAAACCAACATGAAAGTTGAATGGTGGATTCATACTAAACACCATTTTTGAATATGTCCTTTCTCTCTCTCACGCACATAAAGTTATAAAACAAAATAATAAAATAGATGTATATGCTATATAGTCTTGTAGTTTTGATTAATCATAATAGAATCAATAATTCATATTTTTTAAGTTGGATTATGCCATTCTTAGGTAAGGACTCATCAAATTAGTTATTTTAATTTTTAGTTAAAATAGTGAATAAATTACTAAATTTCATATTTATCAAACTAGTTATCAAGTTAGCTATTTTAAATAGTATAGAGAAATAATAGAGAGTTTGTTGAAAAATGTATTTGAAAAGATGAAAAATCAAAATAAAAAAGTGACTTTTAAATTAAAATATGACAAAATTTTAATTAATTTGATATTGATACTTCTTAATAGAAATGTTGTTTACATACCCAAAAAAAATATTGAAATATATCTATTATATATATATGAATTAGATTCATTTTAAATGTGACTCACTTTCATTAAATTTTATTTTCTAATCATTTTATAAATTACATTTTTGGAATAAATAACTTTTAAAAAAAAAATTCCCTTGATTAAACTTGAGATGACCAGTTAAACATAGCCATTGGATCATACAAACTTCTCTAATTTTAATGTGGGTTATCATGATTTTTACTATTGTGCCACCTAAAGGCAAGTTATGGATGCTTTTGCTTCAACATGCAACAAAGTGACTTGCATCAAATTTAGAGACTTTCTTGTGGGTCGCTATCATCCATTTGATGTGTGACACGTACACACCCCCAGCTATGGATGTAAAGTTGCTAAATTAGAACTGCTACCCTTACAAAAACCTACTAATTAACTTGTAATGAAATTCATTAAGCCCACAAAATAAAAAAAATAACCCTTTTTGTTTTTATTGCTCAATTTAAAGAATTGCATAAAATTATAGATATATAATTTTCTAACACCTACCTACAATAAGAATGGGCCCACATCATATTTTACTACTTACTCATAAGAGCCACATTGTCCATAGCAGCAGAGAATTACCATTAATATTGATTGAAAAAATACGAGATGAGAAAGTTAAATATTACACAAAAATTAGACATAAAATCAGACACAAAATATATATATATATATGAATGGATTTTTTTTTTTTTTTTGAAGTAGACGCCATTAACAATTTTTTGTAAAATTTTATCAATTCATATGTATTCTATGTTATGTTATGCATTCTTAGAAAAATTTATTTTTCACATAATGTATTATTTTTCACATAATGCGTTCTTTGTATGTTTTTCATCAATAAAGTTCTTTTCTTACTGATAAAAAAATAAATGAAAAACTCATCTCTTTTCTCTATTCTATGATTTATAGAGCATCTATACATTTCTAGATACCCATTGAGGGGAAAAGAAAGGCTTTCCATGTAGAAAGAGAATTGCCATGAATGTTGATATAAAAATATGTGATGAATCATCTCTACAACATTCCTAGATACCTATCAAGGCAAAAAAAAAAAAACTTTTTTTATGAAGAACTTAAAGAATTACCATGAATGTTGATATAAAAATATGAGATGGGTCATCTCTGCAGTGTTGATGAATCATGATTATACAAAGAGAGAAAATAAAGGTTAAAAAAAGAAAAAAAAAAGAAAAAAGAAAAAAGGACACTAGGAAGAAGAAGAAGAATAATCTTTTGTATTGGGAGATTTGAATTTGTACAGAGACTCACTGAGCACATGACCCCTCAGGTGTCAGAAAAAACCTCTTTTGATTCCTTTTCCGAGATAAACACTGAGTTAGGATCCCTTCCTTATAACTCCTCCTTGTAATTTTTTTTACAATGACTGAGATCAGCCGTTGCAACATTCAACAGTTAATTTCAATTTATTTATTTATTTATTTTATTTTATTTTTTATGACCATTGAATGCCGTTGCAAGAAAGATTGCAATGAGAAGTTGTAAGGAGGGAATCCCAACTCCCTTTCACTAACACACATTTTTAATTTTTTTTATTATTATTATTGTTTTATCTTTTTTTCCCCTTTGTTCTTCTTTGCAAAGAAGTTACCATCTTCTTTATCCCCTTTACTTCTCTTTTCTTTTCTCTCTCCCTCTCTCTCTCCAAACACTACTTTATTCTCCCTCAAACTCACCTCTAAAAAGCAGCCGGCACCCCCTTTGATCCTCCTTGTGTTCACTTCTCAAACAACATCCTCTCTCTCTCTCTCTCTCTCTCTCTCTCTCTCTCTCAAACCTAGAAAGAAAATAGGCCATTACCTTCTTTTTTTCTTGATCTTCTTTGTTCCCACATACCTATTCTATTCCTATATGAGCATGAGCATTTGTTGGTGACAAGAGAGAGTTTTTTGAATAGGGTTTTGTGACTGTTCTAAAAGATAGATTTAAGTCAATGATGGCATCGTCTTCGGAACTGAGCCTCGATTGGAAGCCCCACAGCTATTCTATGCTGTTAAAATCTTTCAGGGACCAAACAGACCAGACCCAAAAGCTCGAAGAGTTTCTTGCTCGCCTCGAGGAAGAAAAACTCAAAATCGACGCGTTCAAGCGCGAGCTTCCCCTCTGCATGCAACTCCTCACAAATGGTATGCACATTTGATATGCATTTAGTGGCTTACAAGGCTAAATCTTGATTCTTTTCACAACAAATATTAAAAACCAAAATACACAAATACCTATGCGACCTATGGATTCAAGATAGAATCATGTATTTTAAGATTCAAAAGACAAGGATTTTTACTACTGCCTATACAATGGATATTCATGTGCTACGCAAATATTGTCATGCTTTTTAATCTTTTCTTTTATCTTTTTTATCGATAATAGAAGCAAGAAATGGCTTTTCATGTGCTTGGATTTGCTTTGTTTCTGTGAGTTCGTTTCTTAGTATTCAAAGTAGATGATGATTTCTAGAGAATCTAGACATGACCTTACTTTAAAGAAAGAAAAAGGGGAAAAAAGTTAACAACAGTTTAGCCAAATTGTAATAAGGTTTTATCATATGTTTTGAAATCAATTTCATTTTATTTTATTTTATTTTGATTATTACTAATGAAATATTTATTTTCTTCTTAGCAATGGAGGCTTCAAGGCAACAACTACAGACCCACCTTGCAAATCAAGTCCCGCCACGACCGGTCCTCGAAGAATTCATACCCCTTAAACTATCAAACTCTGAATGCTCGGATAAGGCATCAAACATGTCCGATAAGTCGAATTGGATGACATCAGCACAGCTATGGAGCCAAGCGAGCGATGTGATAACGAAGCAAGAATTGACAGTAACATCACCAAGAGAAACAGAAATCGGGTTCAGTGTCGGTCCTAATAAGCTAGGTTTAGATAACAAATTACAGAGAAACAATGGAGGAGCTTTTCATCCATTTTCGAAAGAGCGAAACTCGTGTCCAAGCTCGACATTGCTTGCTCTCCCCGATTTGGCTCTCGCTTCGAACGAGAAAGAGATGGAGGATAAGAAATGTTCAGAGATTGATAATGGGATTGCTTGTTTGAGGAGAGAGAATTCGGGTAAGCCGGGGACAGGTATGGTTGAGCAAGGACACGGTGGTGGTCCGCAAGATTCTCAAACTACCGCCATCAACAGCACCGCTGCAGGCTCCGCTAGTACTAATACAAATCAAACTCATAGGAAGGCAAGGAGGTGCTGGTCGCCGGAGTTGCACCGGCGGTTTGTGAATGCTCTTCAAATGTTAGGTGGTTCTCAAGGTAAATATGGACCATGCAATGCATTCATGTAATGTCTAAAGTTTTTAATCAGAAAATTCTACTGGTTACAGAATTTTTATATAATTTTTTTTTTTTATAATCAAAATGGAGTTATAATAATATTTTTGAAAATTTAATTCACTTTATGATTTTTTTTAAATGATAAAATCAACATTTCTCAATTTTATCAAATGAATTTGTGGATTAAATACATTTTTGTTCCATTATATTTTCATCGTATTATTTTAGTTTCATAATTATTCAATTTATGTTTAAATGATTCTAACATCGTCTTGTCCAGAATTTATATACTAATAGAACCTTGGGTATGTTTGTCCAAAATTTAAAAATAAACAAATAAATTGGACAAAAATTTAGATGTAAACCTGTGTTTGGGAACATTTAAACGCAAACTGAATAAGTTAAAAAAGAAGAGAAAAAAAATGACATAATTAAAATAAATATTAGTGATTAAAATGGCATCGTTCATACTTTGACAATTAACAATTTTTACCATTAATTTTTTTTTTATGTACTTTTTGTATAATATACATATATATTAAATATTTAGATAACCATGGTTGAACCTACTATGGTTTTAAAAAACAATGATTATGATGATGATTAAAACTATTATGAATATATGATTGTTGTTATTATGGGTTTGGCTTATTTTTTTTTTTATTTTTTTTGTTTTTTGTGGATAATTGTTTCAGTGGCCACACCTAAACAAATCAGAGAACTGATGAAGGTTGATGGTTTGACCAATGATGAAGTTAAAAGCCATCTGCAGGTATACTCTCTCTCCCCTCCTCCTCCTCCTCTCTCTCTCTCTCTCTCTCTCTCTGTCTGTGTATATATGTATATAAATACATGGAGACATGCATGATATAACACTGTTGTGTCCTGCCCTGCTTCATGTTAGCAAAGTTGTGAGTAGTACCACAGCATAGTCCAAAGATTTAAGCTAACAAACTGTGCATATTCTCTCAAATCTGTGTACTACTGAGTACAATAATAGAACAAACTCTGAAAACTATATATACATGTTTGTGTATGTACATAACAGAAATATAGACTTCACACCAGAAGACCAAGTCCAAGCCCACAAGCTGCAGGTACTCCACCACCCCAGCTAGTGGTCCTAGGTGGCATATGGGTCCCACCAGAGTACGCCACCGCTGCAGCCGCCGCCCACGGCGGTGCACCCCCTACCCTCTATGGTGCACACCCAACCACCCATGGCTCTCAACACTACTGTGCTCCACAAATGCCCCAAGAGTTCTATTCCGGACCACCGGCGTCTCAGCCCCACCACCAGTTGCACCAGCAGCACGCCCTCCACCACCAGCTCCACATATACAAGGCCTCTTCACAGTCCCACAGCTCGCCGGAGTCTGATGTCAGGGGGCCCGGTGACCGGACTGAGAGCTTTGGAGACAGGAAGTCCGAGAGTAGTGGTGGCTGGAAGGATGATAGCGGTGGGGAGAATGGCGGTGGAGGAGACAGAAAAGGGTTGGCAACACTGCAAGGCGAAGGTGAAGAGAGCAATGGCAGTGAAATCACTCTCAAATTTTAACCATCATTTTAAGTAACAGTATCAAAAGTTATTATTTCATAAATATTAGTATAAAAAATTCAATAATATTGACCAATATTTAAACTATTTTATGATTAGAGGGAGTTAGGGTTAGAGTGATGATTTTGATTAATTAAATCTATTTTCTATATTGGAGGATACAAAGGGCATAAAGAAAAAGTGAGTGTTTGTTTTGTTATTAACCAATTACCCATTGTATGCTTTTCATGTCCTATTTTGAAAAAAATTGAAGATTGGATTTATATGGATTTTGGCTTTTTCTTCAATTGACAAATTTGCCCTTTTTTAATATTCATTTTTTTTTTGTTTTTAGATTATGACGGCCCTACCTTGGTTCAACAGCTAGTTTCACTACCAGTGATATGGCTACTTTCATGCTTTTCAAGTCAAAAAGTGCCATATGGCACCACCCAAAAAAAACCCCTTAAACCCACTAATAGCAAAATAAACAAAAACAAAAACCAAATTAAACTAAATCTTGTATTCCAATTAATTAGAGTCGGTTACAATTTTTTTTCTTCTAGTATTCCAAACCTCTATAAAGTTTCTATGCTTAGTTAAATTTAAAAATTTTATATCAAATTTAAATCATATAGTTCTTGACAAAATAGAATAACAAAAAAAAGTTTATGTAACCAATTTCACTGGATTGAGATTAAAAAAAATAAAAAACTTGGTTTGATAGTTTATTTTGCTAGTAGTGGATTTATTTATTTATTTGCATATGAATAAGGTTAGCCAAAAATAATAATAAAGAAAAAGCAAAAAGTTAAAAGGTTAAGCGTGAAAATATTGGCTGCAACCCAATGAAAGCAAGGTTAAGATATGTTGGTGGTATGCTTTAAGTAGCTTTCGAAAATTTAGCAAATTTTAATTTTGAGGAAAAAAAAAAAGAAATGGTCCAAGGAAAGAGTAGGTGCAAAATTCTAAAAAGTTGATGCTTTTATATTGAGAAAACTTTTTTGAGCTAGAATATATATATATATATATATATTTCAATTGGTTCAAGGTCATTCAAGAGACCATCTTAGAATTGGGAAGAATATTACAAATTAATATTTTAATTGTTTTTTACTACAATTATATTTAGATCTAGAATTTGTGAAGAAAATAAAATTACACATACATTTAACCTTTTTTTTTACTAATATATATTCACTTTCTTCACATTTAATAATCCAACCAAAATAGAGAATAATTAGTTTATTTTGATTTATTTTTCTTCTATTATTCAATTTTTTTCTCTCTCTCACAAATTTAAAATGATAAATTGGTAAAAAATCCACACCTATGAAGTCATATGTTATTTGGTCTAAGGTTTAACTTTTTTTATGCTAAAAGACCCGTGTTGAAAAGTTATTAAAAAAAAGTCATCAGTGCCGAAATTGGCCAGAAAGTTAATGGCGGCTAGTAGAGGTGAAGTGGACAAATAGGTACCATTGAAAAAAAAAAGAAAAAAGGTGCATTAATAGGTGACACGTGTATATATAAGTAAGATTTAAAGAAATAATTAGACAGATAAGTGCTATGTGTAGAAATAGGTAACATTTGAATAAATAGACAGATAGGTAACCTTTAGACAAATAGGTGTCCCTTTTACTATTTTTTTAGCCCAAAAAGATTTAAGCTAACAAGCTCCAAAAATTTCAAAAATGGGCCTCTGACCTGAATATCCAACTTAAAATCTAAGCACATAATAAAAATTTCTCTATAAAAAACCCTTGTGCAAAATGAACAAATAGTCTCCAAATGCTAGGTTCTAACTATAAGGTAGTGGTTAGTTTGTTTAGATGGATTTTGGATAACTATTCCTAGACCTCGTGATGAAATAATCATCCTTTAAAATTAGTGAATGACGGTTTCATTTTAAATGTATAATTCTTTGTTTTTTTTACTGAATCAAAGTATTTTGACAGAATGACTATTCTATTCCAACTTTTATTCTTTGTGGACCAAAGACCATCTAAATCTAGCATTATTTGTATTGAAGTGAGCATTATTCATTAACATGTGGGACTCAATTTTATTTTTAAAATTTAAACACAGTGAAACTGTGCCTTTTGAGGCCAGAATTGGTGCCTCAAAAGATTTAGGTTACGTTTGGTTTAGTTTTAAAATTGTAATTCTTTTTTTAAAGTTATAATTTAAGTGTGAAATTGTAAGTTGAGTTTTAGAAAGAGAAAATTTGTTTGATTATGAGTTTTGAAAAAATTTAAAAAAGAATTTTTGAATTTTAAATTTTAAAAAGAGCGAGTCTATCCGGTCATCCTCCCAGACATCCTCCTGAACATCCGGCTAATTTTTGGGTCTACTCAGTCGTCCCATTGGACATCCCTTAGTTGCAAGCTGTTATTTGAATATATAAACATATATATATATATATATATATATTTTTTTTTTACATATTTTTTAAATATAGAAATTATTTTTTTTACATTTTTTACAAAAATAATTTAACAATCTCATCACTAACCATCTTCAACACTATATCATCAAAAGAATTTTAAATTGTGAGTTTGGTTATGAGTTTTGAAATTAATTTTTGAATTAAGTTTTGAGTAATTTTGAGTTGTGTGTTTAGTTATAAATTTTGAAAAGTGATTTAAAAATTTTACTTTTAAAATCATAATTCCAAAAGCAAACCAAACACAGCCTTAACCTACGATTAATTTTGTCTACTTCATATGTGAAGAAACAGTTCAGAGTCTTGACAAATGACATATTGCGGTTGTTAAAGCTAATAATATATAGAAATTCCATAAAGGTCATCAAAATCTAACTGAGAGTCTATAAAATTGGGTAATTATTGCTAGTCTCATAATACTATATAACATTGTTTACGGCGATTCCAGTCAATGCTAATCCACTTTTATTTAGCAGATGAGATACAAGGGAAAATTCACCGCGATTCTTCATTTTTGTCTAAAACGCCACATAAATAAAGACACGTCATATTATCAGGCTACCTAATAATTTTCCTATAAAATTACCTAATTTGATGTCTAGAAATTCCATATACATCCGCCCTTGGGTCCAAACATTTTCTTTAGTAGGCCAACTTAACTTTTGCCCACCATGATGATGGGTTTCACCAGTGGTCTGTTTTTAAGAAAAATTGCTTGATCTGAGTCTAATCTCTTTCACCCAAATAAACAATGAGCCCATAGACTGGCAAAAAAATGCTTCCTAGTTAAGAGGCAGCTAATTTTTGCATTTTATTTTTTGGTTATTATATCATATATTTCTTTCTTGTTCTAAGAAAATAAATAAATAAATATTTTTTTTGGAGGATAACAAGCCCTATTTGATTGTGAAATTAAGAAGGTATAAGGGTCGGCCTGACATCTGGCCTCACATGTTGAGCAATCCAGCATTGTCATGAGAAAATATTATTCCCATGTCTTCGTTAACACGAGTTCTACCACTGTGTCTAGTATTTAAGAAAATAGATAATGACAAAAAGCTAAGTCATAGCATAAATGTTCATCAAAACTTTAATTTTTATTTCTTTGGTGCTAAGGCCTAGTTTGGCTACTCCTAAAAAAGTGCACTTATTTCATCTTTTTATCTTTTTTGAGTCACATCAATCAACATCTCCTCTCTACTTTTTCTACACATAATACAAAAAAAGTCAAAAAGTGCACTTATTTAGTCTTCCCAAACTAGGCCTTAAGTAAAAAGGAAACCAATCCTAATAATCTTCCTTAGGCGTGACAATAGGGTTTAATGGGGTGGATATTAATTTCTCATTCTCATTTCCCTAGAATAAATTTTCTCCATTCCCCATTCTCCATGGGTACCACCCTCCCCATTTCTTAATGGGTATGGATTTTCCCCAACCCACTTTAATCCCCATTTTTATTTTTTATATTTAATGATAATCCCCATTTTTATTTTTTATATTTAATGATAATAACAACTTTTTTTTTTTTTTTTTTTTTTAAGGTTCACAACAAAAGCTAAATATACCTTCAATCTTTTTTCTTTTTTTTTAATATATTTAATTAAAAACTTTTTTTTTTTAAAGGTTCACAACAAAAGCTAAATATACCTTCAATCTTTTTTCTTTCTTTTTAAATATATTTAATGTTAACAACTTTTTTTTTTTTAGCTAAATATACCTTCAATCTTTTTTCTTTCTTTTTTAATATATTTGATGTTAACAACTTATTTTTTTTAAGGTTCACAACAAAAACTAAGGTTGCGTTTGGTTGTGTTTTGTAAATGTGATTTGAGAGTATGAATTGTATTTTGAATTTGTGTGTTGTAAAATTATGATTTGAGTGTAGAAAATTTGTTTGGTAAAGAGTTTTGAAAATAGTTTTGGAAAAGATGTTTGATTTGAGTGGGGAATTGTTGATGTGATATTTGATATGTGATACAAAAATTTACAACTCATAACTAAATATACAACTCAAAATTATTTTAAAGCACATTAAAAATTAAAAAAATTTCAGAAATTTTTTTTTCCAATTATATAAATCAATTGCAAAAAAAAAAAAAAAAAAAATTTCCTGTACAGCAGAGGACATCCAGGTGGATGTCCCCATGGACGTCCGGGCGGTAGTCCCTAAGGACGTCCGCGTGGAAAAAAAAAAAATTCCTGTACAGCAGAGGACATCCAGGTGGATGTCCCCATGGACGTCCGGGCGGTAGTCCCTAAGGACGTCCGCGTGGTCTTCCCCTGGCCAAAATTTGAACAAAAAATGCGGCTGTAATACAGAGCTCTCTGCAGAAGTTTGGAAAGTTGATTCCAAACACACAACCAAACATCATACTGAAATACACATGTGGAATTACATTTTGAATTCACAACCAAACAGAGCCTAAATATACATTCAATCTTATTTTATTTTCTTTGGTTCAACAACAAAATCAAATACACATTAATTAATTAATTAAAAAGTTTGTTTTATAATAATCAAATATATAATTTTGAGACAATCAAATAAGTTTTAGTAATTGAAAAAAAAAATGTGGAAGAACGTGGAAGATTAAAAAAAAATTACAACCATCTCTCTCTCTCTCTCACTCTCACTCTCTCCCCTACATGTTATAAGAACCTGATTACAATGTTATAAGAGCCTGTTTGAAGAAATAAAATGTGAAAGAACCTGTTTAAAGAAAGTGTTATAAGACCCATATTAAATTGCATCAGGGCATAAATAAAGAATTATTTGTTGATCTCTTAGCCACGGACATTTTAGATATTAAACCATCTTTCTCTTAGCAAATTTGAATCATTCATTTTAATTTATCCAAAATCTAATTATACCTTTTAACAAATCCGAACCACTCATTTTAAGATATCTATGCGTTACCATACCCAATCTATCCTCCATCTTCTTCCTTTAGTCCCCCACGAATTTTGTTGTTTGTTACTTTTAAAAACAAAAAATATTTTTTCAATTAAATTTTTACTAATTTCACAACACCATCACCACTATTCTCCCCTTCACTATCACACTACCATCCCCATAGCCACTACCATCATCACTGCAGCCATCACCCCACTACTATGTCACCATCTCTACTTTCACCTTCGTTCCATCAGCACCACCACCAAATAAAAAAAAATATATTTTTAATTTTTTTTATAAAAAATATTTTCGATCTAAATAAATAAAGCATAACATTGGGAAACAAGCTAATTTCAGTTAAATCTGTTCATAACTAAGAAAAATTCTTTTATTTAAAAAAAAAATATTTAGTAAGACTTTGTATCCCCTTTTTATTTTTTTAGCAAATAAATCTTTGTACCCATTATTTCTAACCAATCATGACTCATACTTGTTTTGATTCTCTACAATTTCCTTATTTTCAAATACATTCATATATATATATATATAAATATATGTTGTATAAATTATGTGATAACATAAAACAAATAGATTCATACTTGTTAATTGAAATTTCAGAACAAGCAAAAGATTCTGAAAATTACAATACATAACAAAATAAAATAACATAGAAAAGCAAGCCCAAACTTGCACTAGACAGTGTTTTTAATTTTTTTAAATAAATTTAAAAAATTCTAGATATGAATAAAATTTGACAAGAATTATATGACAATGTTAATTAATGTGTATTTAATTTTATTGTTGAGCCAAATAAAATAAAATAAGATTGAATGTATATTTAGCTTTAGTTGTGAATCTTTAAAAAAAAAAAAAAAAAAAAAAAGGGTTTGGAACCTTAAAAAAAAAAATAAAAAAAAAACAAAAGAAAAAAGATTGAATGTATATTAAGCTTTGGTTGCGAATCTTAAAAATTAAAAAAAAAAAATGATTGTGAACCTTAAAAATAATAAAAATAATAATAAAAAAAGATTAGATGTATATTTAGCTTTGGTTGTGGATCTTAATAAATAAATAAATAAATAATTGGTTGTGAACCTGAAAAAATAAATAAATAAATAAATAAAAGAAAAAAGATTGAATGTATATTTAATTTTGGTTGTGAATCTTTAAAAAAAAAAAATATATATGGGAAAATTAATGGGCACCCATCCCGAACTCATCCCCTGTGGATATTTAAAGAATATCACTTACTCTACCCAATGGATAAGAAAAAAAAAGAAGAAACTCATGTATTTAGGTTGGGTCTCCATAAATACTCACAGGATATGTTATCCATTGCCATCCATAAGGAAGAGCCTCCATAGATGAGCCGGACAAACAGAAAATTTTAAGTGCTCCCTCAAGACCGGCTTGAAACATAGGCAAACCCCGACTCCACTAGGGTCCTAGCAAGCATAAGCTAGAAGTAGAGGTGGATCAAAATTGCATCGCCCTCATGAAGACTCGAACTCAAACTCTACTTGCTTACCAAACCCAACACAAATGAGCTCCCACCTGCTAGGCTACCCACTTTTGTTGGTGGTATGCTTTAAGTATTTGACAAAACTAATTGTTCACACTCGTGCTATATTAGATGATGATAAAAGCAGACTGTTTAATACGTACCATAGAAAGTTGGTATTGGACAAAAGCCACAAACAAATGTTGAAATTGTATGAACATTGGATTTCGCAGCAGATTTGGACCAAGTTCACAGGGCACACCTATCTGTATCAAAAAAATGGTTCACAAGGATAGAGGCAAGGGCACCGAAAGGGTTGGCCGTCATAGCTTTCTAATTAACCTTTTTTTTTAACCTAGTCTCATATAAGTTTTCTTAATAATGCTAATGTATGGCCATCACTTTCTCATGTGTGGTTTTGCTTTTTCTTGTTTAATCCAAAACTTTCCTCTTCAAACCTAGCATTCACACACTGTCCTAAAATCTTGTACATGCTCCCACTATCAGAATTATGTTTCCCCACTGAGGTGTGTAATACTTGAATAATATAATAACTTTCACAAGTTTGGCATAAATAAAACTGACTTAACCTCTAGTAATGCTAAAGCAAACAAAATTATTGCAGATGATGTGTAAACACAGATAATGGAAATATATATATTTCAATATAAAAAAGATGACAATCTTATTTTTTTTGATGTATAGGACTAAAAAATAACCAATTAAAAGAAAGCCATGCATTATGGGAATTAAAACTTTAATGTTGTATTTGAATCATGAATTTGGATAGATATTTCACTAGGAAAAATGAAATTATGATAATGTGAATGAAATATTGGCTAAATTTGAACTCCAATTCCCTTGTGTTTTCCTTTCTCTTTTCAATCCCTATTCAAACCCTGATTCAAACACAACATAAAGGAACACAGTGTAAAAACCTAAAGGGAAGTTGGTGTAATTTACCTTTCTTTTTTTTTATAATGATGAACTACTCCAATGTAGTCTTTTAGTCCTGCAAAATAAAACCCAGATACATACAAACACCTGCAAACTTCATGCATCGGTTTAGTTTGAAAGACAATAGTAAGAGTCGAACCCAAGATATTATTTTTTATGATTCACCTACAGCAAACCACCCCATCATGTCCCTCTGGCTTATAGATTAAGTTAACGAGTTTGGTCATCATTTACTTAATACCTTTTTAGCATAATAACACCTAAAATGTGGATATTAAATCCTTTTTCAGACATCACAGCGGCAAGAACCTCATGCACTGGACTGCCCCTTTTAACACCTAAAAAAGCTTTGGATGGACATAAGACAGTCTTCAACGACTTTGGAGTTCTAACCTCTTCGCAGCCACTAATATGTGGATAGAGAATATCTTTTAGTGATTACAAGATTTTATATTCCAATAATATTTCTAAATAAATCTGTCAGAAACAAGAATATCATTCATTCCACCCAAAAAAATAAACACAAACTTGAATGAAAATGAAGGCTGTACATTTAACACTCGTCAAATGCAAAATGGACTTTAATCCCCGTGCACTGTTAGGTACTTCCATTTGTTAGCCCCAATACCTTAAAACCTACATCTTTACCAACATCCACCTCTATCATTGTTGCATCAACAAGAGACTGCAAGCAAATAAAGAAGTTCAAGAAGTCAATTGTAAGTACACCGCATTGCTTTCCACATTTAATATTGAATATGAAAAACAGTAATTGCTTACACCCAAAAGTTAAAAATGATAACAAGATTTCACATTAAGTGGCTAAGTTCTAAGATATCAACTCTTTAACTTGTGGAATATACAGCACATACATAAACATTACATGTAAACATATATTCAAGAAATTTCTGTATATTGTCTCAATTTGCATAACGATTAAGACTACCAATATCTGTGGACTTAACAACCAAATAATAATAATAATAACAATAAAACAGTGCTTTCATGTTCAAGAGTAAATCAACAACCACTATACGTACATGCAGAAAATAGTCTCATCATTCATGCAAACAAATGACAACACAACAGAATATTGTAATTTGTTTGCATTTCCATCGGCATTCAGAAAATTATTATACTTTATTTTCTTATTTTTTTGATGAGTACACATGTGAGATGTACTTTTACAAAATTTTCACAAAGTGCATTGCAGCTCATATACTCTTTTGAGCATCTCTGATCTTCACGGTGTGCATTAACCACATAAGAAAATTTGTATATAGATATTAAAATTTTGAATTATGAGTATACCCCACTTGATAATCACATTAGCAGTGGATGATATATAGACATTGTAAAATATAGACATAAAAACAAAATGAAAATTGAAAGTACCTCAACTAGATAATGAAGGTTGCTACAAGAGAAGAGTATGACATCATATCGAATCAGAAACTTCTTATAGGATTAAAAGCCAGGACAAGAAAAAAAATGTCAACAATGACAATTGGCCGTTATGGAAACACCAAGTACTATCCACCACTTACAATAAATAGGGTAAAGAGAGTAACCTGGAGTTCCTGTTCAGAGCTTTTAAGCCTTTCGCTGTAGTCTTTTACGTGCAGAAAACATCTATGCAGCTGTGCATGGATTCAAAGAATGTATCTATCATCACCAAGCCACGTTCCAACAGCTGAAATTATGATATAGAAATGATTTACATGGAAATTACCTTGGTCAATTGCATCTGACGTTGAGAGGAGAGCTTCTTTGCAGCAGTCAATGCATCCTCCAATTTCTGCAAACAAAGTCCTATTCTCTTTTAAGTATAGTCGTCATGGATAAAAGATTAATCTAAAAATAACAGCAGAGGACTGTATTTTCTTTTCTCATGTTCGCTGCCCAAGTGTGACAAGATATGAATGGAATTCCTCATGATCCAAATGACTGCAATATATTCGGCTCAATGATTAACCTGGGACTTCTCCTGTAACTTTGTAGCAAATTGTCTTTTCTCCTCTGCCAACCCTTCCATCTGAGATATCTGGCAATGTAATAAATATTAGTATTTATTATTATTATTATTTACTTATTTGTGTTTGTGTGGTTAGTTCCATAATAATAGTAAATGTTTTGAAGAATTTGCCCATAAGTGTCTCAAACTGTTTTTGTGATGTCAAAAATGTACGCCAGGTTTAGTATCCATTGGATAGAAGTCTAGGAGTAGATTGGACATAATTTACACAAAGTGGCTGCCTCTAATGCCCAGTGTTGAGATGTAACCCAAAGAAAATGGGAATCTTTCATAAAAAAGAGAGTAGACCTCCACTTAGAAATTGAGCTAGCCATATGAACAACTGATAAAGGGAGTTAGTTAAGTTCTAAGAAATAGAGCTTTCATCATTTGAAGAAGAATGAATACAAATACTACAAGTATTCATTCTGAAAATCCAAACCGTTAACAAATATCCGATCTAACAATCCAATAAAATCCGAATCTAATTGATCCGATTATTGTCGGATTGGATTCAAATAAATCCAATTTGATCATCAATCAAATCAATCAGATCGAATTGGATCGGATTTAGTTAAGTTCTTACAAATGGCACTTTTGTTCATTTGAAGAAGGAATACAAATATTACCAGTTTACATAACGGACTTGCAATTGCCAACCTTAATAAAGGATATGTAGAGGTAGCAAATCTGAAGATTATTATGTGACTTCAAGCAACCAATATATAAGGAATATACGTCTATGTATGAAGAAATTTTGCTGCAAACCTGATGTACCAGTGCACTTGCGTTTACAACTTTGTTGAGTTGATTTAACTTTAGTGTGTACAATTGTATCATCATTCTTCCCCATTGAGGGAGATTTCAATATCTAGTCCTACCAAGCTCTTAAACCCCAGTCACTAGGTGATGTTCTTTAATTTTTCACATTAGCAATGGATGTTTTGTGGTTATCAGATGGACATAGTCAAACCAAATTACCATGAAACTCCTTCCCAGCAATCAGAAACTTAACATCTAGGCAAATTTCTCTGATGATTCAGAGCCTGAAAGGAATGCAAACCTGTTTTTGAAGTTCTTCGAGCTGTTGGTTTGAAATTTCTAGTTGTTTTTCCACCTGATAAAATGACAAAAGAAAGATAATTGAGACAAGAAAAGGCACCATCATCAACATTGCACAAGCATTTGCAAACAATGTATAACCCAGATGCCCAAGGCAGAACGAGTTTACCTCATCATGACCATCATCACTTGAATCTGATGAAAGCTCTCTACTATTTCGGTCACTAAAATTAGAACTGCTTTGTGGAAATAAGCAAAGTTAAGTGAAACACTATACGATGAATAAAACTAACGTAATCCCATATTAGCCTTGCATCACACACACATTGACGTGGTCAAATCATAATAGCAAACATTAAGGTCAATGTGATAACGTAGAGCAGAAACATAACAGCATTACTAAAATAAACAGTTATTAAATACAAAACGCTTGTACACAAAAATAATGTGCTTAAGAACACACTGGAGCAACTTACAAACACATGCACACCTACTGATGACCATACGCACTTCAGAAGAGAATAAACTAGTCTCACTCACACACAAAGACCCATGCATAAAAAAACACTCTAGGACCCCTTATTGTACACTAAGGCTGTAGTACATCACACACCCAAGGAACACTCCACTCACACAAGGGCCTATGCCTTGATACCCTACATGATCTGCGCCATATTTATAGTTGTAGTAAGTCAGTGGATATCAATGCAAAATGAATCTTGAATATCCATTAGATGCAGGTTTGGGAACACAAGCACAGACACATGACACTATATGGACATGACACAGACATACCAACAAGACATGCCAACACTAGATGGACATGACACAACCACTGTTAGTCATAACTATTGAGAAAAATTTTGGTCTACTACTACATTCATTTATGTATAACAATTTATTCTGGGATCATATCTGGAGAGAGGAATGGAGAGAGAAATCTATAAGATGTATATAGAGAGAAAAAGGGAGAGTTCAATGTTGACTCTTAACAAATACATCTCATTAATGCATTAGAAAAATAGTTCCAACTGTTTATATAAATAGGATACAATAATTCCATTGCTAAGAAGAGACTGTGGAAGAAAATATAGCGCAATACTCGATCCACAGAACTCTTAATTAAATACTAGTTTTAGTGATTTTTTTCACTAGGCCAGAGTTTTGAAGTAATTATTATAATGAACAAAGTGTTGTAGTCTAACTATAATAAAATGTTGTAATAATTAATTAAAACTTGTCATGTGTTGGTAACTTTCAACTTCATAACCAAATGTCTTGCAAGCCACAAGTACATATTACAGTTCCATTGTCTTTTCAAGAATTACGTGACATCAGTAAATGACACCTTATAGCTACTTCATGACTAGAATTTACAGCCAACTTTGTTTGAAACAGTGTTGAGGTCAACTACAATACAAAAGCCAATGCTAACACGTGCAACTATGAATGCTTCTTTATCAAAGACCAACAGAATTACAACTGCAGTGGGCAAGTTGTACAAATAAATAATATATAATACAAATGAGCAGCATAAACAACCTTTCAATGTTTATGAGAAGCATTCTAAACTATTTAAAATCCTAGTCAAAAATCTAATTCTAAATAATAAAATTAAGAAATATAAAAATTATAGAATTTTGTTCTACATCTTTTTTCTTGCCTTTTGTCGGTCCAATTGTTCCAAGAAGTTTTCGGCTACTTGTTCTACATCAGTCCCTTCTTCTTGGAGAGAACTCGACCTCGGGTTCGATTCTGGATAAAGGGGTTCTTCAGCATAATACTCATATAAATCAACTACATTAAAAGTCTTGGAAATCTTCATGTCGTCTGGTAGCTTAATCACATAAGCATTGTCATTGATTTTCTTTAACACCATATATGGACCATACTTGCGAGGCTTCAATTTGTTGTATGTGCCAACTGGAAATCTATCTTTGCGCAAAAACACCATTACTGAATCTCCTTCCTTGAATAGTTTAGAGCGCCGATGGCTGTCTGCAGCTGCCTTATATTTGGTATTTGTTTCCTCCAGCTTCTGTCGTACTTCTTCTTGTATTGTTTGGGCTTGTTTGGCCATGGTTTCGGCGGCAGTACTCACTCCTGCACCCCGAGGCAAACGGAGCAAATCAACTGCATGTTTTGGAGGCGTGACATACACCAGAGAGAAGGGTGACTTTCCTGTGGCACTGTGAACTGCGCTATTATATGCAAATTCTGCTTGAGGCAAAGCAAGATCCCATTGTTTTGATTTGTCTCCACAAATGCTGCGACCCAAATTGCCCAAAGTCCTATTAGTCACCTCTATTTGACCATCTGTTTGAGGATGCGCGGTTGAACTACGATTCAAGGCTGTGTTAAATATTTTCCACAAAGTCACCCAGAAGTGGCTAAGGAACTTGACATCACGATCTGAGGTAATGGATTGAGGGACTCCATGCAAATGAACTACTTCTCGAAAGAATAATCGAGCCACATGAGAGGCGTCTGAAGTCTTTCGACAAGGAATAAAATGCGCCATCTTTGAAAACCTGTCAACTACTACGAACACAGAATCAACTCCACGTTGGGTACGAGGGAGTCCCAACACAAAGTCCATCGACAAGTCTTCCCATATGCTGTTAGGAACAGGTAGCGGCATATAGAGGCCAGTATTCTGAGACTGCCCTTTGGATACTTGACAAATGTAGCACTTCCTCACAAAATTGCCAACATCTCGCTTCAACTGAGGCCAGAAATATCGTTCTTGCATACTTGCGATAATCTTGTCCCTGCCCAAATGTCCACTTAAGCCATTACCAAGGAGATCTCGAATTAGTTTCTCTCGCAAAGAGCTACGGGGAATGCATAAGCGATTTCCTCGAAATTGATAGGCATCAATGATGTGGAAATCAATTACTGGTTGTCTTTGAATACACTTTGCCCATATCTCCTTGAAGTCATCATCATCAGGATAAAGTTCTTTCAGGAACTTAAAACCCACAATCTCATGTGTCAACGTGACTAATAAACTAGCCCGTCGACTCAAGGCATCCACGACTCGATTCAAAACCCCTGATTTGTGGCGAATAGTAAAAGGAAATTTCTGAAGGAAAGTAGACCATCTTATATGCATATTATCTAGGTGCTTCTGGCTGTTGATAAACTTTAAGGCTTGATGATCAGTATACAACACAAACTCTCTCTGTATCAGATAATGTTCCCAATGCTTCAAAGCTCGAACCACTGCATAAAATTCTTGGTCGTAAGTGCTCCACTTTTGCCGAGCTTCACTTAATTTTTCACTGAAAAAGGCCACTGGTTTATGTTCTTGAGATAGGACAGCCCCAATGCCCACACCACTGGCATCACACTCTATCTCAAAAATCTTCTCAAAACTGGGCAAAGCTAGCATTGGTGCAGTGCACAACTTCTCTTTGATCAGCAAAAAGCTCTCTTTTGCATCATCATCCCACAGGAATTTTCCTTTCTTCATGCACTCTGTTATTGGTGCCATAATAGTGTTGAAACTTCGAATGAAACGCCTATAAAACGTAGCCAACCCATGGAAACTCCGAACATCACTAACAGTCTTGGGTGTTGGCCACTCTTGGATGGCTCGAACCTTCTCTTGATCCACATGAATGCCATCTGAACTAACCACATAACCCAAGAACAGCAAACTACTTGTAAGGAAACTGCACTTCTTAAGATTAATGTACAACTTGCTTACCTCCAGTGCTGTCAACACCTCTCGTAAATGGGACATGTGGTCCTTTTCAGATTTACTGTAGATTAATATGTTATCAAAATAAACCACGACAAATTTCCCAGTGAAAGGTCGTAATACTTGATGCATCACTCGCATGAAGGTGCTAGGAGCATTAGAAAGGCCGAATGGCATAACCAACCATTCATACAAACCATCCTTAGTCTTGAATGCTGTTTTCCATTCATCCCCAGGACGGATTCGAATTTGATGGTACCCACTTCTCAGATCGATCTTTGAAAACCACTTTGATCCTTCCAGCATATCCAACATATCATCTAGTCTGGGAATGGGAAATCTATACTTGATGGTAATCTTGTTGATGGCTCGGCTGTCTACACACATTCGCCAACTTCCATCTTTTTTTGGTGTTAATAATGCCGGAACAGCACATGGACTTAGGCTTTCACGAATAAGCCCCTTTCGCAGTAATTCTTCAACTTTCTCCCGTAGGATCTCACTCTCTTTTGGACTCATTCTATAGTATGGTAGGTTTGGCAGACTTGCTCCTGGTATGAAATCAATCTGATGTTGAATGTCCCTCATGGGTGGAAGTTCATCTGGCAACTCGTCAGCAGTAAGCTCTTGGAATTCCTCCAACAATGGTTGAATTTTCTGAGGGATTGGTGTGGCTGTGTTCTCCTTGGCCATAGGTACCATTGTTTTCACAACCATAGCATATAACTCTTGTGAAGTTTTCGCATCTGCCACAAACTCGGCCTGTGAATTGGTTATAGTTAGGAAAGACTTCGCTTCGACTTTCGGAGGCACTGTGTGTTGCTTTAAGGGACTCATAACAATTTTATGAGACCCCCAATTGAACACATAAGTGTTGTCTCGCCCTCTTAATGTAATATCCACATCAAATTGCCAAGGTCTTCCAAGTAATACATGACTAGCATCCATATTAACCACATCACATAATACATCGGATTTATAATGTTTACCAATAGAAATAGGTACCTTACATACTTCAGTTATCTTGACAGCAGGTCCTTTTTTGATCCAGCCAATACTGTAGGGAGAGGGGTGTGGTTTAGGAGACAAGTTCAGGTGCGTTACCAATCGTTTAGCCACAAAATTTTCACAACTTCCATTGTCCACAATAAGGTCACACACCTTTTGATTTATGGTACAACAAGAGCGAAAAATACTGTGACGTTGACTGAGGTCCTCAGCTTTTGGTGTAAATAGAACCCTTTGAACTACACAGTTGACTCGTTCTCCTTCTTCTCTGGCGAGTTCAGCACCATCATACTGATTACCCTCATATTCTGCATCTCCATTATCTCCAATTTCATCTTCTTCTTCAACTAAATTAGCAGTCCTTCTTTCTGGGCAGACATTAGAGCGATGGCCAGGCGTACCACATCTATAACACTTATCCGTTGTTGGTTTGGCATAAGGATTTGTGTTTCGAGATGCCTCTCTACTACTTGATCCAGTCATCTGGTTTCCTCCTCCACCAGCGGTACCTCTCTGCTGATTTACTAGAATTGTTGGTTGGGCAGCCCCTTTTCTTTTTTCCCTAGTGGGAAACGATGAATCAAGAAGGTTCCGACGATATCCAGAACAGGTTGTCTTACGCTCCATTAGCTCGGCTTTGAGAGCCATATTATGTGCTTCATCCATAGTCCACACTACTGATAGCCCTATCTTCTCTCGAATGGTTAATTTTAACCCATTGAGATACCGGGCTACACGCTGTCCTTCGGTCTCATTCAGATTATTACGATCTGAAAGTCAGCAAAATTCAGTTGTATAATCAAATACAGATCGGCTTCCTTGGTTGCAATTTTGGTACAACTGAAACAAGTTTTGATCATAATCTAGTGGTAAAAACCTGTCTTGGAGGAGTTGTTTCATCCGACGCCAAGTCCGTACAGATTCTTTTCCTTGTCAATGCCTATTTTTCTACAATTAATCCCACCATACCACAGCACCTCCTTTTAGTTTGTACGCTACCAATTTCACCATCTTTGATTCTGGAACATCCATCATCTCAAAAAATCGCTCCACCTCTGAAAACCAGTCAAGAAAATTCTCAATATGTAGATTTCCATTGAACTGGGGAAGATCTATCTTCATTCGGTACTCATCGAACCCTTGTTGTTGTTGTCTTCGGGGTTGATAGTTGGCTGGAAGTGGTTCAAACTCTGGCTCCAACTCCTCCTCACTATCAGATGGACAACAAAGGGGACGTCTAGGAGCATTCTGAACAGGTTGACCTCGGGCAAATCCTTCGGTGCGCACTCTGTTCTGGTTAATAGGTTGGCCTTGGGCAACTCCCTCAACACGAACCCTATCAACCATTGGTGGCATGTTGTTGGCATTGAGATTCAGGCCAATAAGCAGATCATGAATTTCGTTCAACTGCTCTTGCTGTTTCTCATATGCTACCCACAGGGCCTTGACCCCATGATCACCGTCAGTAGGGTTTGCATGATCTACTCTGTCTTGTGCCATAGAGCTAAGTGAATCCTTGCTCTGATACCACTTGACGCAGCGGAATAAATCACATGGGACTAGATATCGTTCTAGTAGACGAGAATTCTTGAATCCACAAGAATACCCTTGAATCCACAAGGAAGATAGAAGAAAAGCTCTTAAAAATATTATTGAATGAATGAAAATTACATATGCTTGTAGGCTTATTTATAATAGATTAAACCTAATACTTGTAGGAAAAAAGGGCTTGCAGAACAAGTGAAAGCTTCGCTAGTGAAGAATGTGAGGGAGTTTTCCACGTTTTGGGCCACTTTGGGAAACGCAGAAGTGCTTGTTGGGCTAGATAGCAGGTAGCTACTATACAAAGAACTAGTCTCGCTGAAATCAAAGAACCATCACAGAGAGAGACCACCACACAGTCTAGGCACCATTCACAGTGGAGTGGAAGCCTGCAACTGGGTTTTGCTCGGTGGCTGGGCCAAATACCCCTGTTTGCATCACAGAGAGAGGAACAACACAGAAGTGCCCTTTACCTGTTCGACAAAATGCCCCAGTGAAAAACCTTGTCACTGTGCTGTCATAAGATGATTAAGGAGAAAGAGAAAAAGAAAGAGAAGGGCAATAAGAGGGACAGAGAGGGTAGTAAGCTATCATTGAAGAAGGACAAACTAGCCAAGAGCAAACTAGCCAAGAGTAAATCAAAAAGCAAATCTTCGACTAAGGTATCTTTGAAGGAGTTTGTAAATCAGGTGGATCAACTATCTACTGATGATATGCCTAATGTACTTCCCCGCCGGTCTACACGCATTCGAGGTCCCCTCAAATCTCTTTCACTTGGAGATTTTGTGGGACCGTGGCAAGGGCCCTCAAATGTAAACAAGAGGGGATTGAGGGACGTAGATTCGGAGGATAGCTCAATTGAGTGTGATTGTGATCTTGGTACAACACAGTTTCGCTGGACTGTGGAAATGCAAGCCTCACCTGAGCAATCACCAAAGCAGCATCAAATACCTAATGCATGGAACACACCAACTAGAGTGCTAACTGATGTTGAGCAGTGGCCAAAATTGACCACTGTGTCCCCATTGGTGGCAAACGAAATGATGTTGTCAAATAAATTTGGCTCACTTAGTGCTGATCAAAGGAAAGAAGTAATGGGTTCCAAGCAACGAGAGAGTGATAAGCCCGTGCGAGCTTGTCGAAATGAGGATTCGGTTGATCTACATATGGAAGATGGTAGTGAAGGTCTGGATACACTTGCTATATCAGGTAAACCTCTACAAGTTGGGAGCTCTTTAATTAAAGAAGAGATTAACAAGGTGTCAAAATTGAAGTATAAAATAGGTGCCCATAAGATTGAGAACCAAGTAAATGGCATTTACAATGTCCCTATTGAGATCTCAAAAAAAAGCTTTTCTCATTGGGAAAATGTTTTGGTTGGATACTTCATTGATAAAAGATTCTCTTTCCATTATGTGAAAACTTGGGCGGAGAAACTTTGGGGAAATTTGCTTGAGGACGTTGTCTCCATTGACAATGGTTTTTTTATTTTTAAAGTAAAAAAGTGAAGAGGCTATGGACACAATCTTGGAAGATGGCCCCTATTATGTTGGGGCTAGATTGATTGTTATTAAAAAATGGCAACCTGGACTAAAGCTAACAAAGTGTGAATTTTCAAGTGTGCCATTGTGGGTAAAGTTGTACAATGTTCCTTTGGAACATTGGAGTGAAGAGGGTTTGGGTTACATAACTAGCATCTTGGGAACTCCTCTTTATTTGGATGAGCCAACTTTCAAGAGAAGCAGACTTACGTTTGCAAGAATTTGTATTGAAGTGCCAGCAAATAAAGAGATCCCTAAGTCTTTCAAAATAAATCTTGGTTATGGTGACCCATATGAGATTCAAGTTGAGGTACCATGGAAGCCCCAAAGGTGTGATGGTTGTAAGACTTTTGGCCATACCACTAATTTGTGCCCTCAAAAGCCAAAGTCTTTGAACCCTCCCTCCTTGAAACATGAGTGGAGAGTCAAGGACACTAAAACACAAATTCCGACTAAATGGGAAGTGGTGAAGAAAAAGGGGAGAGATGGTGGGCAAGGTTCAACGCCATTGATCAACAAAGAGAGAGAGACGCGGTCTGCTATCTCCTCAACATCTAATGCCTTTGATGTCCTTGAATCGTGTGATATGGACGAGTTAGGAAATGGAGATTCAAGTCAAGAGTTGAGAAATAGAGGGAGTCCATCTCCAAGTGATCCTAGTTATGGGGAGACTTCAAAAGAGGATAACAGAAGAAAACTTAAAGCGAAACTTCATGACTTGAAGAATACTAGAAAGAAATTCTGAATCCTTGTTTTGTTAGGAATGTTGTGCTTGTTTTCTATAAGCTCAGTTTGTTTTTTGATGGAGTAGTTTATTTTGTTTATTTTTGTGCTCCCATCAAAAACTGTGTGTTGAACTTCATTGTATATTTTTCTTTTTTGGTTATAATATGACTTACTTATCCAAAAAAAATACTTGTAGGAAAAGTGATTCCAAAATAAACTAAGAAACTTAAATCAACACAAATTAAGAAACCTAAGAGAACTAAGAAACCTAAGAGACTAAAATTCTAAGCTATTTAAAATCCTAGTCAAAAATCTAATTCTAAATAATAAAATTAAGAAATATAAAAATTATAGAATTTTGTTCTACATCTTTTTTCTTGCCTTTTGTCGGTCCAATTGTTCCAAGAAATTTTCGGCTACTTGTTCTACATCACTATAATAAAATGTTGTAATAATTAATTAAAACTTGTCATGTGTTGGTAAGTTTCAACTTCATAACCAAATGTCTTGCAAGCCACAAGTACATATTACAGTTCCATTGTCTTTTCAAGAATTACGTGACATCAGTAAATGACACCTTATAGCTACTTCATGACTAGAATTTACAGCCAACTTTGTTTGAAACAGTGTTGAGGTCAACTACAATACAAAAGCCAATGCTAACACGTGCAACTATGAATGCTTCTTTATCAAAGACCAACAGAATTACAACTGCAGTGGGCAAGTTGTACAAATAAATAATATATAATACAAATGAGCAGCATAAACAACCTTTCAATGTTTATGAGAAGCAAGTAATACAGCAAGAGTATCTTACCCATTCACTTTCTTCAATGCTTGATCTTTATCCTTGTCTCGACTTTTATGATGATCATCACTTCTCTGCATCTCCCTATCTCTATCTCGACTCCCATCTAATTCACGGTCTCTTTCCCATTCCCTGTCCCGCTTCTTATCATGTTCTTGCTTATTTTCCACATCTCTGTCTTGACCTCGATCTCTATCTCTATCAATAATCCTCTCTCTCTACAATTCTTTCTCTCTCTCTTGCAAGTTTGTGCATAGTAGTTTAGATACACCATACTTTTGCCTACACTTTCTTAACCAAAGTGCAACTTAACTTTCCCTATCTTGATCACAGTCTCGAGACTGATCTCTATTTCTATCATGATCATAATCCCTATCTCGATCTCTGCTCCTATCCCGGTCCCCCTTGTCAGAATTACGGCGAAAACTTTCACGACTAACATTTGACCTGCCACCTCTGGTCTTCACTTCATTTACTCTCACAACTCGCCCATCAATAGTCTAATTCAAAAGCATTATGTCAAAGGTCTACAAAATTCAAAGAAAAGTTCCTATTTATATATACTACCATGTACCAGTTTTATGTCAATCATATTTCAGAGGGAGATTGAGAGGCATACCCTGCCATTCATGTCATTGATGGCATCAACTGCAGATCGAGGATTTGTGAAAGTAACAAAGCCATAGCATTTTCCACCTACCCCACGGTCATTGATTACCTGCAGACATTAAGAGACCTTACTATAATTCATCTCTATATTCTTCTTCTTCTTCTTCTTCTTCTTTATAGAAGGAATGGTACCTTTATCTCTCACATGCAAATAATATGACTAAGACACTACTAGCTAACAAAACTGTGAATGAGTTTCCACAACAACATCAACAACAGTGTCGTAGGATCGTTACCATTCAGTAATGTGGCCACTATCTACCTAGCAACAACATAAACTTCTTAGCCCACCATCAATAAGAGGAATGCCCAAAAGAACCAAAAGAATATTTCCTCTATAAGGTCATCAACAAATTTAGAGGCTAAAGTATCTTTAATAAAACATAAGGGTAAATTATACTAAACTCCCCTGAGATTTGGGGGAAAAAATACAATAAACCTTACAAGTTTGACATAATTACACTAACTTTCCCTTTAGTAAAGATAACGCAAACGTACCTAATACATAAGGTGCATGTAAGAACACGTGCACAATCAAATGTTAAAAATACATTTCAATGTAAAAGTGATGTTACTTGTCATCAATATCATGATTTAAGTGAGCAAAGTGTTATGAAAATTTAAACCTTAATTGTGCCAAATTGTGGACCTTGCTTTACTTTTCTTAAACCAGAAGGGAGATTAGTGTGATTTACCTAGAAGATAAATAGTGTAATACGAGGAGCTTCTATTTGCACACAATACATTATCTTCGTTCACACCATTTGTCAAAACAATTTAATTGCAATTCTTTCCCTTAAGTAAATTAGCGCCATTAAGAATAAGCACACACCTCTCCAAACCACCACCACCACCACCAACCACCACCTTTTGCTGCTACAAAGCCGTAGCTGCTGGAGCGGCCACTGCCTCACCATGACCCAACCCCCTCCCCCACCATCGCAACAGCCTTCCCCCACTCCTACCGCCCCATCACTACCTTGAAACCCTAGAGTTATGCCTCACCATAACTCTAAATTTTTAGCGTTAGGGTTTAGAGTTGAGGTATTATGGGGATTAGACTGGTGTGAACTGGAAAAAAAAATTGAAAAAAAAATCAGGTGTAAACTGAGTAATAGTTTGCAGTGAAAAAATGTAAAGTGCAAAGATAGAAGCTCCCTATAACAGAGTCTCAATTCCAAGGCAAACGAACAGGTTGGAGCAATTCAATAGTCTGATAGCAGCATAGAAACTAATTTGCACACATTAAAATTCAATAAAAATTTGAATCTTTAATTTTGAACATTACATTTAGCCCTACTATAATTCCGAAGTCAGAAAATTCAAAATTTTCAATTGCTTTCTTTTCCTAGGTTTTCTCAGCAACCAAACGAAATTAGTTAAGTAAATCGCAAATACAAAAAACGATTGTGCGTACTCGCTGAAATCCTACGGCAAAGTAAAACCCTAGCTAAAACAATGAAATATATACATATACATATACATACATATCTGTGGAGAGAGAGAGAGAGACAGAGAGAGAGAGACCTTAACGGCGACGACGTGACCGTAGAGATCGAAGACTCTGCGAATGGAGTCTTCGGTGGCGTCGTAGGGAAGGCCACCGACGTACACCGAATTGTCGTCGTCGATCGTCATTTTCTCCAACTCCGAATTATTAGGCCGAAATTATGATTTATATAGTTCTCAAAAATCGACGCCGAACATACTGTGGCAGAAGTTGGAAGAAAGCACCGTTTCAAAGGGAAGAGCAGCGAGCGAGGTAATTTTATCACAGCGTAGCGGCATAATTAATTAAAGGATTTTTTATTCATAAATCTTATTTAGTGGTGTTGTAACCAATAAGTTTATGAATAATGCTTGGGACCCCCTTTTGGGGGTCACCCCTCATCCCTTTTATCACGTGGTGGATGGTGATTGGAGAAGTAGGAAAAAAAAAGAAAAAAAAAGAAAAAAAAAGAAAATGTAATCAATGAGAGAGAGATGGGGTCAAAGGGGATGGGAGGAAAAGGGGAATGAATAATTGTTGTAAGTTTATTAAGAAAAATTATAACGTAATTTTAGCTTCAAGTATTTATATTTTTATTTTATGAGGTCTTTTTTATTTATTTATATTGTTTGTTGAATTATTACAATACTCTTTCTTTTTATTCAAATTATTATATCCATTATATCTATTGTTGATATGTATTATATAGAAAAAAATATATACATTTCTTTTTTATTGATACCTCTATTTTGATAGTTATTACTATTCACACTTTTTTTTTTTTTTTTGTGATCATTTTCATTTACATTTGTGGTATTGTTTCATTATGCTAGGGTTTCGAAACTCTCTATTTGATAAGGTTTAAAAACTCTAATTTACACATAGTGGGTGTTTGGGAAGTGAATTTTTTGTAGGTTTTTTAAGTTATAGGATATTATTGGAGAAATTTTTTTTGTGTTTGGAAAAATAGTTGGGTTTTTTTATGGTTGGATGTGATGTTTGTGAGAGAAAAAGTGAAATGATTATGGGGTTTGATGTGATATTTTGTTTGGATTTATTTTTTTGGTTGTGTAACCAATTTGTCTTTTAGTGAAAAAAAATCAAAAAAAATCCTTTCCAAACACCCCTATAGTGACGAAATAATATTATATTCCTCAACTGTTACAGTGAAACTTTGTGTTCCTCCACTATCACTTTGTATTTGAAATTCTGTGTTCGTTCATTGTTACTCTGTGTTCGAAACTCTATGTGTTTTCCATTGTTGTAAGTCGAAACCTTGTTTATGTCCAGTCAATTTTGTTACAAACATATTCTTCAATGGTGGGTTTGGTTTTATTTGGATTGGTAGAATGGTGAAATTGCATATATTATTAATGATAGTGATAAAGATAAAGATGGTGATGAAGATGAGGATGTAGTTGATTTTATTTATTTATTTTTAGAGTGATTTAGTTTTTTTAGATTTCTAATTCTATTATTGCCACTGTTTATATTTTTTGTCAATCAAGGTGAATGTTCACATTTCACATTATTTGAAAGTTTGAGAAATAAGTGTTGAAATATAATTATGGTATAATTATATATTTTGCAAGATGTAAATGCTCACATATTATTGGTTATTTGTCACTATACTTATTATTTGAACAATCATTTTTTGTTACCGTTAAACTACTGAAATAATCATTTTTTTTTCAATTTTGTTTCATGTTGCAATGTGAATATTCATATTGGTATGAATTTAGTTTTGGAGAATTTTTTTTAAGGTCCCTAATAATAGTAGTTTAGAAGATAAAGGACACCAAAAAAAAGGGGTGATGCATCAGGTCCCTCAACTATATTGCTCACATTTTTAATTATTTCATGGACCAAAATACCCTTCACAATCAACACAGAAATTAAACTGGATTCCGATGACTGAGTTCCATTCCAAACATCTAACCATCTTCACGAGCAAGGGAATAGCAGAATTAGGGTTTCAATATCATCTTCACTATCGACATTAGAGTTTCATTATCTTCTACAAAAATCTTTCCCATTCTTTTCTCACAAATTTCTCTAATCCCGTTTTCACTGTTCATCGTCATCTCAGTTCATTTTCGTCACATTGCGTCTTCATCATAGAGCATATCAGTTCGTAATTAGTGTTTCATCCTAGCTCGGGTAAGTTTTTCTACAATCTAACGAGTTTTTCTCTGGAAACACAGTTAATTGCATTTTATATTAATGTTCCATTAATTAGTGTTTCAATTTCGTAATAAAAAGCTACATAATATAGACACCTCATTTTTTACCACCCTTAAGAGTTGAGCGCCTCAGGTTGATCACTCAGTGATGAAAGTTATGCTTTGCAATCGTTCGATTTCTTCAGCAAGAAGAGCTTCTAAATCCCAACCTTGTACCCCATTTTGGACTAAAACCATTTTAGACCAAAACTATTTTAGACCTTAAAACCCTCTCTTTCAAAATATTTTTAAAAATGTTTTCACGATGTTCCGAGGCTCGTATTTCGTTAAAAATTACGTTTTTCGGTAAACTAAGGACAAAGTGAAAATAAATGGAAGAGAGGTGAATTTTTTGAAAAATCTTTAAAAACATCTTATTTAAAGCTTTGGAATTGAATAAAATAGAAGATGAGAGAAGAAAACCCGTCAGGGGAAAGGTTAGGTATCAATCCGTTAGGATGAAACTGAGCAGTTTTCACTAAAATAGGCATATCTCTTTGCACACTTAAAATTTAGGTGTAAGGCCACTTCCATTGGAAATTAGACTTCTGAAGCTTTAATTTAGACTCAAGAATGACCTAAAACCGAGTCTAGATGAGGAAGATATGCCCATTTGAAATTGGGCCTGAAAACAAATTTTTGTGGCCGACCACTTTAGTGGCCTGCCGGCTAGTAATGATTTTTTTGGCCTTTTTTTGAGTAGATTGACCCACTTTTGGGAGGGTTCCGTCCACTAATGTGTCTTTCCGTCCATCATTAGTGGCCTGCCGGCCACAAGTGTCAAAAAGTAGATTTGTTGCAGATATTTTCCTCCAGCTGTTTCCATACTGCTCTAGCTGTTTCTGAATAGATATTTTCGACCTAAGGCTCATGTTTTCTATATATACATGACCTATCTCTCATATTTCAAGGTTAGAAAAATTTTGGGAACAAAATATCCTCTCTCTACAATTCTTTCTCTCTCTCTTGCAAGTTTGTGCATAGTAGTTTAGATACACCATACTTTTGCGTACACCTCTTTAACCAAAGTGGTTCATCTTTGAGCTGAGGTTCCTTGAGGCCTCATTGGAGCTCTAGAAGGTGATTTTGGCTTGAATTGTTGCCTAGAGTTGGTCTTCGCTTCAAGAGGTATAATACTTGCCCTTTTACCTTGCTTTGTATACTTGTTTTTCTATCTTTTCTCACTGATTTTGGACTGTTTTGGGGCTATAAAAAACTCTGTTTTGGTGGGCTGAAATTGGTGGTTTTAGGCCATTTAAGGTTAGGGGGTGGCTCACCCTTCTTTATTCCTTGTTTGTAAGGCCTTTCCACTTTTGTTTCCCATTTTCAAACCACCTTTTTTTTGGGCTTTTGAACACTGAATTTCAAAGTATTTTCAGTGGTGAAAATCATCTTTTGAAATCTAAATTTGGAGGGGTTAGCCTCCCCTCCTTGTGTTTTTTTTGCTAGCATAGATAACTCTATATGTTAGCTTAAATAGCTCTATATATTAGCTTATTTTTCTAGCCATTTATAGTTTAATTCCAGCATGTTTTTGGCTCTATTTTGGACTGTTTTTACTCTGTTTTTGGCTGGTTGTTGTATTTGAGTCTTGTTTTGCATGCTTCTAGTGTAAATGTCCACACAAGCTTGGTATTTTAGGCCTTTAGACACTACTTGTTTGAGTTGATTACATTGTTTTAGTGCTTTTCTCACTTAATTTCAGCAAGCATAATCTTTATAACCTCCCTTATTTCTTGACTCTTTGTTTGCTTTGAGGGTTGTTTCAACCTTAGGATAGTTTAAGCTTGAGATTGAGGTCCATGCTTAATGGTTTAACCATCTTTTGGAGGTTCATTATCAACGGCATGATACCTCTCTCTTGCCTTAAACTATCTATTGTTTGACAGTTCCTTCTCTTTTAGAGGACTTAACTCACCAATGAACTTAATTGGTTAAAGAATAGAAGGGCAATTAAAATAAGTAACTAAAAGTGGAAACTAAAATTGTGCAAAGATAATAATTTGATTGTGTTTTGATGTGTTCAATCGGACGTTAATTGAACAAAAGGAAAATTTGGGCATTTCATACTCAAAGTGATGAATTGTGCCAAGTTTCCTAGGTCTCCATTGCCCTTGATCATGCATGATAGGGTGAAGGTTGTAAGTCTTGTTTGTGCATTGATTAAACTTGTACACCTTGATTCTTTAGCCATCATGCAATGGAATTGCTTGATTGATGGTCTTTGAACCAAGTGTATCATTCATTTGAGCTTGTTTTGATGATAAGGAGGGATACATAGTACAAACAACCTGTGAGAATACCTTCTCTTTGCTCTGTTTGTTCTCTGTTGCAGCAAGAAATGGTGCATCATCAGTGGCCAGTCGGCCACTATCTCTAGCTGGCAGGCCATCAGTGTTGGATGGCAACCCCCTATTTGTGGCCGGCCAGCCACCACTTCTGGCCTGCCGGCCACCAATGAATTTTGAGCATAATATTTGTGAAACAAAGCAGAGTTGATCTGGAGAATAAAAACAGTGCAAGGGTTGTACAACAGAGGCTTTTGAGAGCAAACAATGGACGTTCTTCGGGGTGGAAACTGAGCATGCATGGGCCTCCCTCGCTTCCCGGGACTAGATAATTAGTTTAATTAGCAATCAGTCATTTATTTGTAGTTGTAGCTAATTAGTTTGTTTTGTACTTAATTAGTTTAGATTTGATTAATTAAATTAGATTGTGATGTAAATATTTAATTAGCTTAGCCTAGTTAAATTATTTAATTGTTGTGCTTAATTAATTAGCTTAGGGTAGTTAATTATTCATTTGTGTTGTAATAATTAGTTAAGTAGTTTAGCTTAGCTAGTTTATTCAGTCGAACCCTCCTGCGCGGGGCATCAATGTTGTAATAATGTGTATGTCTTTCAACCGTACGTCTTTCTCCGTTTTATTTATCCGCGTTTGATGGTTAGATTAGGGGCATCACGTTTCAATTAGCATATCGCATGTTTTCATCCATTCCTTTGTCTTGCATACACCGAGGCTTGGTTTATCATTTAAACTTGCATTGTCGTTTATTACTTCGTTGAATACGTGTTTAA